TCAGTTCCAGAGGATCCGATGCAGCTGGTCCCTGCAAGTACCTTCACCAAACATTCATGTGCACACAGGTGCCTACACATAACTAAAATAAAAATATTTAAAATAGTTTATACTATGAAGAGGAATTTTAATTCAGAACATAGCTGCTCTGGCAAGAGATCACATCCAGAGATCTTCTAGGTCTGTATGATCTGGTTGCAATATAGATATACCTTTAACCCCAGGAGACAGAGGCAAGCAGCTCTGAGGACCAGCCTGATATAGAGCAAGTTTCAGTTAAAGAAAAGCTTAGGTCCAGGTGTGGTGGTAAATGTCTTTAATCCCAAACAATGAAGGTAGAATTAGTTTATAGAAGGAAGCACCCATGTTTGAAAGTGATGTCTAACTGAGTGGCAGAAAAAGTGGCTAGTCAAAGAAAGATTTTATCGACTAGGATATGCCCAACTCCCATGAGGAAAGAGAGGAAAGGGAACCTGCTTAAGGGAATAGCAGAGAGAATGAGGGAGAGAGGAGGCATTTTTACAGAAAGAGAGGTTGAAGAGAGAACAAGTTAGACACGACAGACCAAGCCAGAGAATGAAAAGGAAACAAGAAGATTAGAACAGATTGCCAAAGTTGGTACAAGGCCAAACTGAGTAATTCAGTCAGAAGCTGGGAGAAGCCAGATTGAATAAGTCAGCTGGGAGAGGAGTCTGAGCCAGAACCGCTGAGTTGAACCAGCCAGCAAGAGCTCAGAAAGAACAAGAAAGGGTGAGCTTATTCAGCAGTAAATCTCAGAGGCTGAAAGCATTCCAGCCCTAGTTTAGACTGAACTAAGGCTAGAACCAGGATGAGGCCTAGGTCAATCAGGCACATAAAAGTTACTTTTACAATGCTATAATACAACCATTTGAACACACATTTTGGTTCATATTCTAGATTTTCCTTATGTAAATGGAGTTGCTGGGGCATTGCTTTACAAAATAGCACTGTACTGAATTCTTAAATCCTCACACTTTACTGAAAATGTCTGTTGACTCCACTGAGTTCATTCTATTGCTCTAACTTAAAAAACTGTAATATATAGATAAAAAATATGTTGGCTAGTTTTATGTCAGCTTCACACAAGCTAGAGTCACCACAGAGGTGGGAGCCTCAATTAGGAAAATGTTAAGATCAGGCTGTAAGAAAGCCTGTAGGGCATTTTCCTAACTAGTGACTGATAGGGTACCACTGTGAGTGGTGCCATCCCTAGGCCAGTGGTCCTGGGTTCTATATGAAAGTAGGATGAGCAAGTCAGGGGAAGCAAGTCAGTAAGCAACATTTCTCTACATTATCTCCTGCCTCCACGCTCCTATTCTGCTTGCGTTCCTGTCCTGACTTTAAAGGATGAATAGGGGAAGCATAAGCCAAACAAACCCTCCCCTCCCCAAGTTTCTCTCATAACAGCAATGTAACCCTTAGACACCTTAGTTTGAATGCGCATTTGTGGATACAAAAGGAAACTCTTTTTATGTGTAGTTTGTTTCTTTCAGAATATTAAATATGTATCTAGTTCCACTATCATCGAACATTGTATCTTCCAGCAACTTCAAGGCTAGCCTGGGAAACATTGAAGGTGCTCAGCCAGGCCCTAGGCTCTATCCCCAGAACTGTACCCATGCAGTCCCTACCAAAAAAGCAAGCATTCTACCCTTGATGCTTTCTTTTGAAACAGTTTTGCTACAGTCCCAAGGCTGTTCTCAAGCAATCCCCCTTGCCTTCGTTTCCCTGAGCTGGGGCTATATCCTGCTACTCAACCCCCACCCCCAACCCACAAGGTTCTCCTTCTCTGAGCATTGGTGAGATGTGGCCAGAGATGTTTTCTTTTCTTTTTTAATGGATGAACTTTAAAGTTCAACTACTGTGAAGAGAAGCAATTTTTAGGATGACATTTTATTCACCTCTGATATTCTCAGTAACTCAAAGGTTTAAATCAAACTGAATGTCAGAGGAGTGAAAGCAATCTCATGTGATTCTACCTTGGGTGCAACATTCAAGAGCATGATGAAGAACACCTGTATCATTTATCACCAAGACGTTAATCAATGGCATTTACTCTGTCTGAACTTTTTAAAATCAACTGTCTCTGATTTGGAAAAGCAATGTGTTGGTATTAGCTGGTACCTAAGAGTCACTGTGAACACTGCAGGGTATGGTGGTGAGTAAGCATCATGAACATACAAGAGGATGTCCAGATCTCTATTGCTGGAGTCAGAGGCTTAGAGACACTGTTTTCCGAAAAACTGATGATTAAGGGACAACCACTTAAAGCCTTTGGCTGTTTTTTTATAAAAGCACACAAAGAAGCATTTATTCAAGAAAAACTCCTGGGATTCCGTAATAGCGGGAGCTGTGTTTGAAGCGGGCATGTTCCCTTCCTTTTTCTAGCTCAGCAAGATAGTATCACAGCTCTAAGCTGTTATGACTAACAGCCCCAGGATCCTTCCTCCTGTTGCTCTGACTCAGAAGAACGGGCAGGCTGACACCATTTTCATCTAGCCCCAGCCATGTGTTTTTGGGATGAGTCCTCTGTTAGTATAGTTGAAACTTGAGGCTCCTTTCTGCCCAGGCCCCATGAAGGTTCCTCCTCGGTAGAGTCACTACAGTGTAGATTGGGGTCCTGACTCTAGTTCTCTTTCTTCGTAAGTTCAGACTGGCCTCATCTTTCTTCCCTGAGCTGTGTCTTCCCTCCACCTAAACTGCCCAGCTTTCACTATTAGGGCAGCCAGTGACTCCCTCAACACCTGTGTCCATCTCCATAGCATTGGCTTGACGACTGCCTGGGGAGAGAAGCAAAACAAGGAGCTCCTGGACCTTTCTAATTCAACCGACTCTGTCTGCAACAGATGTGGAAAGGGTCAAGTGTCTGTGTACTCTGTAAATTATTGGAAGTTACATCCAAAGTTGGGGGGGATGAAGGGACATGGGTAAAAGTAGCATTTACTTGCCTGAATAGATTGTCATCTCCGAAGCTTACTTCCTCCATCTGCTAACCTAGGCCCAGTCTTTGAAGCTTCTAGCCTCCATACAATCTAACCTAGGCCTGGAATGTCTTCAGCTTCTGAGACTTACTGGCTGAATAAGCTCACCCTCTCTTGTTCTTTCAGCTCTGGCTGGCTGGTTCACCTCAGCTGCTATGGCTCAAACGCCTGTCTTATCTGACTGATTCCACATGGCGTCTCTCTGTTTCTCACTGAATTGCTCTACTTGGCTTCAAACTAACTCCAGCAATCTGTTCCAATCTTCTCTTTCTTTCTCTGCTCGTTCTCTTTAACCTTTTACTGTAAACCTGCTCCCTTAAGTAGCTTCTCTTTCCTCTCTCAAATCTTTTTTCTGCCACTCAATTAGACATCACTTTCAAACATGGATGCTTTCTTCTACAAACTAACTTTACCGTCATTGTTTGGGATTAAAGGCGTTTAGGACCATGTATATTTAGAATATGCTTTAAAATATTTGCCAACATAAAGAGAGGCAGCTCAATTTCTTAATCTAGGTGACAGGCATGGAAGCATCAATTCAGTGTGGCTTTTTCTTCAGCCTGACCTTGAATGCTTGAAGATGAGGATGACTGTTAAATACTATATGTCTATAAATACTGTTTTTGTTTGAATATTTTTTCTCTTGGAAAAAAAAAATAAGTACTTCTAAAACAAAATACAAATACTCATCTCCTAAGCAGCATCTAATTATTTCACAACCCATTTTCTCGACTCTGATCTTTTAAATGCTATAAAACAGCAAATAATGCCGAGCAACATATTATTTTGCCTGTGCTATAATTTTGAGTGAAATAAGTATTTACAAAAATGAAACCTGCAACTTTAGATTTAACGAGGTTTTAAAATCACATGCATTTTCCATCTAGTTTTATTATGGACTCTTTAAAAAAAAATCTTCCTATTTGACTAAGCACTAAAGTAGCCACGTGGTTCTGCAAAAACTACGGTCAGGTGAATTACATGAAAAAACCATCACCAAGAATTTACCTGCTGACACAGCACCGGTAATTGTCAAAATATATTCTTCCTCTCTCATATGCTATAGGTGACTTGGAATGAGTTGTCCAAACATTCTTAAATTTAGTACTCTCCTGGAAAAAACAAAGAATTTCACTTTAGAAAAGTACTCAGCTATGGAAGCATTTTAGGTGGGTGGCGTAAATCTACGGTTTTTAAGTACATTGTTTTCTAGTTTTCTGTCCACACGTGTTGGTTTAATTCATGCCCAACTTTTAGATCGATTGGTTTGTAGGAAGGCAAAAGAAGACTTTTAAAACTAAAGCCACGAGGCGGACCCATGAGTACCTATATTCTAACACCCTAATTGCAGGACATGGATGCCTCTCCCCACTTACAACCCTCAAAAGGGAATCAGAGCGCATAAAACAAGCAAACAACCGGCAGGAGGTTGGACCCCAGGCACTTTCACTACGGCGGGCATCACCTGGCACACCAGAGCCCGCAGGATGCCCAGGTTCGTCCTCTGCACCACGCCTGCATCGCGTGCGAAGAAGCCCAGAGCCCGGCGACTCAGCCTCTGGCACACATTGGCCTTCAGGGTCCGGCCCATGGAAGCTCGCGGTCCGCAGGGCCCAAGAGGGGCGCGCCCCTCACTTCCGCGAGGGGTGGCAGCTGCCGCCTGCGAGGCTCCAAGGAAGGCTGAGGCGGGAGTCCGCACTGGGCACTCGGGACAGAGACCAACAGCTAGCACCACAAGGGTTTGGTGCAAAGGAACAGAACCGACAGCGCCTTCTTGGCCTTTCCTTTGCCTCTCGGGATTGCAGCTGCACCTCGCGGCTTGCCGTAGCCACTCCCTCTCCCGGAAATGTAGTTCCCGTGGCCTTTTTATAGTTTCTTTCGACCCGGGCCTCTTTTTCTCAGAACTACAATTCCCACTAAGCAAAGCGAGGAATGGCCCCGCCCCTCCCCTCCCATATTCCTTCCCTCCTGACCCTGGTAGGTTGCGCAGTACGGCTGCGCAGTGGGTCGGGTCGCTTTCCTGGCTGCACGCGGCTGGTGGGTAGACCCTTGGGGGCGCTGCTTCATCTGTATTTCTCCCAATCCCTTCCCGCCCTGGTGCTGGGGGCTAACTGCCAGCCCCCACTTTAGCCCTGCGAGGTTCTGGCCACGTGTTCGGAGAGGTGTTGTGTCCAGTGGGACCCTCCAAAGGTACGCCCGGTGGCTTTCCCTCAGCCGCACGTGGGACGTTGTGGATGAGGTTGACTTGAACTTTTGGTTGTACACACACTATGCTTTTGCATTGTGATTACTAGTGAAAGATGCAGCGTTTCCCACCAAAGTAGGATTGAATTTCTTTTTCCCAGAGGCCCGCCCTTGTGTGGCCAGTGGGGACCCTGGGCTGGTTTTGTGGTAATTGCTGTGTTTTCTTCCTCCTATTTTTCCTTATAGGGAATAATATATGAAATGATTGCGTTGTTATTGGACTGCCTAAGGTAATCTAGTTGATTTACCTAAGGAAAAACTAACATTCTCTGTTAACTAGTTCTGCCTGTGTGTTCAAAATTTCCAGCACACTAAAATTTCCTTAACTGTACACCACCCGTTTCCTGAACGTAAACCCCTTTAGTGTGGGCTCTGCATCCCCCCCGCTTAGACTTGGCATGCTCCTTGATCTTCGGTGCTTAAAGGAAAAGTCAGTAAGCACACCAGCTTTCTGACTGACAAAAGTACAATACTGGATGAGTGCGCTGGGTCAAAATTTAACTTTTATTTTTAAGAGGGAGGGGTAGATTATTTTCTTCTGGGCCTGCCTTTCTCCCCCCACCCTCCAATATTTCATGACTTGCTTATAGCATAGGGTGGAGTGCCTTGTATATTTTTAGAACGCTGTACAATGGTTAATTTGGTCATTCATGAAGGCAGCTGTCACTGAGAGAACTGGAACCCAGAAAAATATAGCTGGATTTTCTTTGGCTGAAGCGAAATGCAAATCATTGCTGAATTGCATTCATCATTTCTCTTTCTTCTCTCTGCAGCTCCTCGCTTTCTGTGCTCTCCCACCATGGCAGAGTTTTTAAGCAGATATAAACTGTGCTGATTCTTCACATAATTTTTAAAACACCACTATAGTTGAATATTCCAACAAAAACAATAGCGAGTAGTGACCATACTTTGATTGGACCCTCTTTTCACTCGCTTCCTCATATAAAGTGCCAGCAGTGAGTTAGTTAATGGCTGGACACAGACCACCCCTCTTTTGCTCCATTTAATGTCTTTCTTTGTTTGGATCAAAGTTCTCTGGTTCTACCAGATCTAACTGCCTGTCCTCTGGGAACTCTGTAAGCTTGAGAAGTTTATTTACATGCTTCTCTTTTATTTGCATTCCTATCAGTGTGATACTTCAAGGCCAGTTAACTCTAAGAGTTTTCCAGGTCTTCCTGAATGGCATCAAGCTTGACCCCTAACTCATCACAGTAAATGATTTCTTTCATCATTTTTGACAGCCAGTGAGCAGGCTGGGGCTGTGGGAGAGCAAGAAGGGACTGCACAATGTGCACAGCTTGGGCAGCCCCCACTCTTCTTACCCATCATTCTGGAATGTTCTCTTCCTGTGGTATTTATCTTACCACCAAGCTCTCCAAGGAGAGTCATTAGACTGTCTTTGCCTCTCCCACAACCCAGTCTTTTTGATTCTATTTCTGTCCAATCTTTTCATCTAAGCAGTTTTGTGCCTTCCTGGGTTTTTTTTTTAAATCACATTATTAATTAGCCTTCTGATTGTTCTTTTTTGCCTATACTTGGATACTTTCGATCCCAACCTGCTGAAGTTTTTGTAGAGTGATTTTACTAATGCACAAAGCTGTCACATCATTCTTAGTGGCACATAGTCATTCATTGCAGAATGTCTCAAACCAGAATCCAACCCAAGATCCATTGTTAAAGTATTTTTAGTATGTTAAGTACATGCAAATATAACACTGTATAAAGTCCTGTGTATCTTATATGCAACTATAATAGCCAGGCACTTGTAAGCTAAATGGAGCAGAACTATATGAGCAGTAAGTTCAAGTGAATGCCTACTCGTTGTGATCATTGATTCAGTTCTGCTAGACCTTAAAATTCAGAAAGCTAGCCAGTCTGCCCTATCCTTCAAGGCATACTTTCCTTACACTGAGACCTATACATATTTTTCTAAAGTTAGAGATTACTCAGTGGTCCCAATCTTTATTTAAACCACCTGGAAGCTTTCCCTTGTCCAGTGGGCCTTGACTTTATTTGACCTTCACTGGACAGCATCATTTACCTACGTTAAGTGTCTTAGTTATTTTCTGTAGCTATAATGAAACACCATGGCCAGAAGCAACATGGGTAGGAAAGGGTTATTTAGTTTATATATCCTGAATCACAGTTCACTGAGGGAAGTCAAGGCAAGAACTCAACCCCAACAGAGGCTGATGCACAGGCCATGGAAGGGTGCTTACTGCTTACTGGCTTGCTCCTCTTGACTTGCTCAGCCTGCTTTCTTACGGAACCCAGGACCACGAGCCCAGGGATGGCAGCGCCCTCAATGGGCTGGGCCCTCCCCTATCAATCACTAATTAAGAAAATGACCTACAGGCCTGTCTGCCTACATTCTAATGCTGTGACCCTTTAATACAGTTCCTCATGTTGTGGTGATCCCCAACTATAAAATTATTTTTGTTGCTACTTTATAATCGTCGTTTTGGCTACTGTTATGAATCATATAAATATCTGTGTTTTCCAGTGGTTTTAGGTGACCCCTATGAAAGGATCATTTGACCCTAAGGGGGTCACAACCCACAGATTGAGAACCGCTGTTAAGGAAGTATTTATCAATCATGGTTTACTCCTCTCTGATTCTAATTTGTGTCAAGTTGAAGTAAGACTAGCAGGGACTTTTTCAATACTCTGCACGTGTGGCAAATGTACAGCTTGTTGTGTAGTGTACCCCTAAGCCCAAACGTGGGACCCTAAGCCCTGGAAGACACTCAGATAAAAGATAGTTCTCTGACTATCTTTTTGTTAAAAATCTTTTTTCTTTTTTGAAGATTTTTTTTTTTAATCAGGTTGAAAATAAGGGTTTCTCTATCAGGCTCATTGTCAAGATACATGCTCAGATTCCTAAGGGTCCATGGAGGATGGATCAGAACCCCTTAGTGACCGGCATAAAACATGTTGTCTTTGCCTTGCTGCATTCTCAGCCTTGTCTGTTGACCGATCTTCATGTCTGTTCCTGTTCTAATGTTTCTCCACTTGCTTAAGACTTTCTACTTGAGACTTTCTCCAGAGCTCCCCTTCCTTTTTCTTTCTTTTAGCGGTTAGGCTCAGGACTCTTGCCAGGGACCCAGCTCTGCTTTCCCTGACCCTCCAGCTAAGTAGCCCTGAATGTATCCCTGCGTTACTCTGCATATGTTTGTGGCACTATATTGAGCTAACCTGGGCAGAAAAATGAGCTGTAATACTGCTCTGCCTCTCTAGCACACTACTTAAAATATGGTTAACGAATGTGTAGGTTGAATGAATGAATGAATGAATGGTACAAAATCAGTTTGTAGAATCTATGATCAACAGCTAAGTGCTTTTAACATCAATGAAGACTTAGTCTCGTCTTAGTCTTTAAATCAATGGGAAGCTAAAGTAGAAATGAGAAATACAAATCCCTATGAATTCAGCCTTTACAGTACCTGCCAAGGGTGGTGGCACATGCCTGTAATCCCAGCAATCAGGGAGGCAGAGGCAGGCAGATCTCTGTTATTTCAAGGCCAGTCTAGTCTACAAATCGAATCCAGGACAGCTACACAGAGAAACCCTGTCTCGGAAGAAAAAACAACAAAAAAACAACAGAACAAAAAAGCAGTAACTTTTGTTTCGTTTTGGTTTTTCAAGACAGGTTTTCACTGTGTAGCCTTTGCTGTCCTGGACTTGCTTTGTAGAGCAGGCTAGCCCTGAACTCACATCGTGCTGCATACTTTTAGTACCAGCACCGAGGAGGCAGAGGCAAGTGTTTCTCTAAAGAGTTTGAGGTCAGCCTGGTCTACATAGTGGATTCCCAGTAAGATCCTGTCGTTTTTTTAAAAAAAAAAAAAAAAAAAAAATTTGTTTGTTTGTTTTAATAATGTAGATAATAAAATAGCATTAACAGACACAACTTATGATTACAGTTTCTCTAGTTTGGGGAGTAAGATAAAAATAAATATTGCTTCTTTTCTCACCCCCCCATTTTTTGTTTTATCAAAATACTTAACATTTTACCCATGATATTTTAAAGACAAGAAAACATATAAATTTGGAAGTTAATAAAATGATTTCTGTTTATATGATTTGCTTAAAGAAAGGCAATTTAAATAAGCAAGCACTCAGGCTTTTGAATATTTGTTCCGAAACAAAATTTGAAGCAAGGCCATTGGAGGCCATCATTCCGCAGTTACTGTCCTCTGCCTGGGCTAGGACCTGTTTTTGGCCTAGGGTACAACAGTGATTGTGAGAGGAGGACCAGCTAGAAATGGTTCTCAACCTGTGGGTCACAACCCCTTTGGGGGTCAAATGACTTTTTCAGAGGCGTCGCATGTCAGATCTGCATATCAAACATTTACATTATGATTCATACCTAGCAAAGTTACAGTTATGAAGTAGCATAAAGCTAGAAGCCCCCGTTTAGCCAGAGAGGTCAGAGAAGTCCTCTTTAAGGGTGAGCTTTCAAGCTGAGCTCTGAACGCTGAAGAGGACCGCTCTGCAAAGGTCTCAGGAAAGAGAACGCATGGTGGTTCATGCTTGTAATCCCAGCACTCAAGAGGCTGAGGCAGGAGGGCCCAGGTGAGTCCCAGGCTAGACTACAAAATGGCCGTGTCAGACCCTGTCTCAAACAAAGGCAGGCTTCCAGGATGCTCAATTACAGGATTCTTGAGGCTTGTAACAACCATGTTGGTTTGTTCTAAAATGTCCAGAAGGCTAGTGTGGCTCTTTTGTATACAGGAGGAAGATAGACTCAGAGTGGTAGGCAGGGGCCTACCATGTCCAGCCATTCAGGCTGAAGAAAGGCTTTTGAGTTTGTTCTCTGTGACAGAGGCTTTGAGAAGGGGAGTAGCATGACCTAATTTGTTTCAATAATGTCAGTTTGGCTCCGGGGTGGAGAATGTACTGGTTGGCCTCTCTTCTGAAACTGGATTCCAATCATTATGGGATCACAT